GTCGCGTTGGGCCAAAATCGGTTTATCTTTTTCGTGGAAAATAGAAATAGCTTTTCATTTTAATTCTGAGCTAAACTTTGGTAATTAATATAAAATAATGTAGATATTCAAAAATTGTGAAACAAATTTTGTTAGGTTTCTAAAATTGTGCTCTATCTATTAGTATATTTAGTTCATATATGTGATTGTTGATACTAGGAGCTATTAAATCATTTGAGTGTGCTCAATATTATTAAGTTAATTATTGTAGGAATTTTTGTGGTAGATTGGTGATAGCAAAAACCCTAAAATTTTTATAGTAGCTTCATTGTATTATTATATGCTCACTGCAATTTTTGTAGCCCTAAAATACACTATTTAATATGGTAGCTAAATACCCATTAAGGCTAAATGAATAATTGCATGATATTGGTTTATAAAAATTAAGTACTTGTAGGGTGAGCTTGAAATCTATTTGGTAGAGATAATGGTTAGTTTAGTATCTTAATCATTAGAGCTAGCTTAGTAGCTCAGGTGTATTCTTATTTTAAGAGTTGTTATTGCCAAAATACTAAGTGTTGCATCATCGTTGCATGCATGTAGAGAATGAGTTGGTGGAGTTCGTGATCGCCGGAGAGCAGGAGTATGAGGAGGTGATTGAGGAGTACGAGGAGGAGGTCCTTGTGTAGGAGGAGGTCCCGGAGCTGTCACTGACTGACTTAGCTGACAATCCGCCTGCCCAAGGCAAGCCCCGATGCATAACCCTTATTTTGAATAATCATTGGATATATATGTGTGATGTGCATTTACGTTACATGATTTCTATTGAAACTACATGCATAGATAAACCTACCTATGAGTCCTACTAGCATAGGTCGAGTAGCTGCTATGCTTGGACTATCGGTAGTGTAAGTAACCTGCCGTTACTCACAATAGGTGGTTATTATTACTCTCATGATAAAATGGTGAAAGGAAATGGAGACCGGGCAGGGATATGGTACGGGTATTGGTGGGTGTCCCGCAGCTAATGGGACATAGCTTGGTTACACTATTTTCCCTGTCCGTGTCGGTTAAGGACCGCCCATTGCTGTGGATTCTAGTCAGGTCATAGACTTATTATCATGTGCTCATACTTACTTATGGAAGCGGGAAGGCTCATTACTCTCTTGTCGTGGGTTCTGGCTCTTTTCGGATCGACTGGTTGGAGGTGGGGATGGCGGATGTCTAAGCACCGCACTGAGTCCGAGACTCAGGAGTGGGGGCTTAGAGTCCAAGTTTGGACGGGGACCTGGACCCCTTGACAAGAGAGTGGTGGGTTAGTCTTGCTTGTGTCTAGGGTACAAGCGGTGCGTGTGTTTCTAGGTACCCATCTGGGATACATTGGTTCACAAATCACCGTGTGATACGGTATGACTTGTCTATGATCTAGTACTGTAGTAAGAACTAGAAGATGAAAGGGAGTGAATGGATTCGATTGCTCAACTCTTGCTTGAAAGTAGAACATGTGCTTACATAGAATGGTTAGCTAATGAACTAATCATGACTGCTAATAAAACACAAATATAAGGATTCACTACTAGTAATGCTTTTCACAAACAAAAAGGAAACCCTGCAAACCATAAAGCTTATTATATCCTTTGGAGTCAGGAAATTATTCCCACTAGTCAGGTAAGTCTTGTGAGTATATTGTATACTCAGGGTTTATTTACCCCTATTGCAGGTGCAGCTTGAGGTGTGGCTGTTGTGTGGAGGATTCTTCTAGTGGGCATAGACGGATCCTTATATCTTATCGTTAGATGTTTATTTCAATTCCGCTCTTTAAATTCCGCACTCTGAACTTGGTATTGTAATAATGTATTTCCGAGAACTCTTGTTGTATGAAATGGACTAAGTATTATAAACTCGTTCTCATTATTGGATCCTGGATGAAAAACGTGGATTGTTCGAGTTCTCCTTTGGGGTGTGCTCGACGGAACCGTCCGATGTAGCTTACTTTCGGGGTGCTTAGCGTCTAGTGGAAGACGAGCGCCTCTGAAAGCGTGCTATTTCGGGCAGTTCTACCACAGGAGGTGATGAAGAAGGCCACAAGTTGATCAAGTGCTCAATATTTCAATAATAAGAAAGATAAAAACAACACCCTATGGAGTGAAGGCAAAGGTATAATTGTAGGGTGTTTGTTTTGCCAGTCAAGACACAATAGAGTGAGTGATCGGGTTTTGGATAAATAACCATAATATTAAGAGGGGGAGCTCTCGAGTTGAAATGGTTATCTAGTGCCACTAGTTGTGTTAACATTGCATATTCATTGAGCCTAGTGACATGGCGAGAATACGAGAAACATACCTTGAAAAATATTTTGAAAATGCTAACTCACATGCACAAGTTGGTGAACACTTGGGAAGTTAGCACATTTGAAAAGGTGAAAGAAAGAACTTGTTGGGCTGCTGAACGGGTGATGGTTGTTGGACCATCTAGCCAAGTGGTCGGACCGTCAGGCACCAAAGGTGCCTAGTGTGGCCTCCTTTAAGGAGTTAGGTCGCAGCCTGCCAGGGCGGTTCAGGGGCCGCTGGCGATCGGGCGGTGCATGCACCGATCAGACCGCCCCATGGGCCAAAGCATGGGGGCTGTCCTATTTCAAAGAGGGCCACACCTTGGCCTCCGTCGTACACCAGAGTTGGGCCACCGGAGCCCACATCGGAGAGGAGTTCCAGAGAGCATGTTTTTGGGTCTTCTCGGGCGTCAAGCCCACCTAACCTATCCGGTGTTAGGCCGGAGCTCGCATTGGAGGTGGGTTGTAGCCATTAGGGCTTAACCTGCACTGGTGGTGGGACTGCTGGCTTGCCCGGTCAGACCACCAGGTTCTGGTGCTAGCGCATGGGGCCATCGTTGCAGGTAGCTGTTAGCGGCGTTGGACTATGACCATTGGCGCCTGGCGGTCGGATAGCTAGGGACCACCTTGCCTTGCCATGTCGGTTTCTTGACTTGTGGGCCATCCAATCTGTGTCTTTGATCTTGAGCCATTGAGAGAAAACACGAACTTGATCCAAAGGTTGATATGTCTTGTAGTTGTGTTTCTTGGTTCATGGGAGGATTTAGAGGGCAATGGGCCCCATAGGGGTGGTCGGCTGACCCCATATGGTGGGCCCACTGGCTCATCTTATCCATTTTGCTAAGTCCTGTAGAAAAATGCTCCATGGACATGTGGAACTTGTTATTTGATAAAATATGCTCGTGACATGCTTATCTTCCTTTTATTTTGAGGTTGTTGACAATATTTGAGTGTATGAAAATGTGACACTTTTATTGTGAACAAGCTTGCGACATGAACTATTTCATTTCTCCAATAACATGATCCTTACTTGAATGTTTACTTTATATCAATCTTGTGATCAACAAAGCTACCATATTGTCTTTTCTTGAATTATTAATTCGCTGATCAACTTTTTTATTAGGAATATATCCATGTGACAAAAAAGATCACTGCAATTCCCTTTGATTCACCATTGCTCTTGATCACAAGGATCAATATCTCCTCATAAATGCAAGCAAGCTATCATCGAGAACAAATCATATCCAATATCCTTTCTCCCCTTTTACATTATCAAATTTATGACTTTTCTTAATTTCAAGATACAACATGTAGTTTGATATGATCATTTGCAACATAACATATCCAAAACTCATAAAAAAGCATTAATCTTTTAACTATTTTATCATTCAATCATTAATACACACTAGGGGCCCTAGATGCACTTTCATGAGTGTCTTGATTCTCAAGAACTTGGGCTGACTAAGCTATAGTGGGCCACATCATTTGGTATTCCAATTATGGCAGTCTACTAAATTGAATCGGCCCACCAAAGTAAGGATCATAGTAACGACAGAGGAATATAAAGCGCGTCCTCCCTTGCTATTCTTCGAGCGGCCCCATTTCCTTTCTTCACCAACTGGGGCTTCCCAACCGTGTCGTGGTCTTGAGTGGCAGATGGCGCCTCCGGTCAAAGGATGGCAAGTGAGCAAGAATCGCCACAGATCTAGCCTTTTCTGGTCAGGGTTAGAGACCCATCACCGAGAGCAGAGGGCGGGCGCTAGCACCACAGAGGAGGAGGCACAAGTCCAACCATGGTGGCTCCGAATCAATCACGGTACTATCTATTTCCATTTCTCGATGCGAATTTCACAATTTTTTTATCTCTAATACTAGATCTACGCCATCATATTCCGATCTATATGCTTTGGTTGTTTGTTTTGAGTTTAGATCCAATTTGATGTCTATACTTTTGCTAGTTTATGATGATTTGTTTCTCCAAACACCATATCTGTGCCGCCGTATTCTAATCCTAGTGTTTTCTTTATTTATTTTACGATTCATCTCTCCATAGAGTGGATATGTATGTAGTTGTGGATCTTTGATCGTTTATTTCATGATTCGTGACACCAGACACGAGATCTACGTCGCCATATTTCGATCTCTATGTTCTAGTCTCTATTTTGTGATTTGTTTCCTGATGCGCTAGATCTACGGTACCGATCTATATACTTTGAAGTTTGAACGTTTAATTCATAATTTCTTTCTCCAAATACCAAATCTATGCCACTTTGTTCGAGTGTTTTAAATAGCGGGCAAGAGTGGCTCAGTATAGTTGCCGCTACAACACGGCTATACTAAATAGCAGGCTATAGCGACGCTATAGCGGGATATAAAAACGCAATAGCGGCTGAATAGATCTATCCGCTAAATGTTACGGAATGCGATTTAAGATACTGCTTTGTTCTGATCTAGTGATCTATGTGCTCAATTTTATGCTTAAGATCTCAAAATCTACCTACTCGCTCTACCATCACCGCGTCAACCTTGTTTTTCTTCATCTCTTTGCCGACCACCATCCTGGAAACGTGACACTGAAGATGCCCCCGTGCACGCCAACGGCAGCACCACCATGGCCTGAATCACGAGGCACTAGCAGCAGCAACGGCACTAGAAGCAAAAGCCGAGAGCCCGAGACCGGGGCGTGCACGGCATGGTGAAGAGCCGGCACACGGAAAAAAAATCTCCGTGGACGGCACACGGCAGGATCCACATGGATGGCCAGATCATCCGCGGAGCCGGGACAGGGGGCGCCCCGACGGACAGGCGTGAGCGATCCCGGCGCTTTCCCCCAAAAATCGTGCGCTTTTCGGGAAAGAACCCCAACGCCGAGAGGACAGAGGAGGGATCTCGTCGACACGTCGTCGGAAACGCGCCCCCCGTTCCCTCGCCGCTGCCCCGACCCGGTGCCGTTCTCGACCGAATCGGCGAATCCTCCCTCTCTCCCTCCCACCGCTTCGCCTATAAAGTTCCCCCTCTGTGGGCCTGATCCTCCCGTACGACAGTGCCCACCGCGGCAGATCTTGGACGCCTCCGAGGTACATTCCGTGCTCCCCCACCGTCGTCCCCTGCCCCCGAATCTTTTCTCTGAACCATGGCCGCCGCGGGATTTTTTTTTTCGAGCCTCGCTGTCTTTTCTTTCTTTCTTTTTTTTTCCCTGGATGGATGGAAGAAAGATTTTGGAACCTTTTCCTGAAATCCGTGGTTGTTGATTGCGCAGGGCACAGCATCGGGAGCAGCATCGCGGGCAGCTCGGAGACGGGATCGATGGAGGAGGACGGCGGCTCCGGCAGCGGCAGCGGCAGCAGGGAGCCGTTCGTGGCTGGGGCGGGAGCGGGGACTGGCGCCAGCTCCGGCGCCGGCAGCAACCGCGGCGTGGGAGCAGGGACCAGCGCGGGCGGCGGCGCGAAGCTGCCGCAGGTGCTGCAGAAGAGCTTCGGCGAGGTGCAGGGGATCCTGGAGCACAACCGCGTGCTGATCCAGGAGATCAGCCAGAACCAGGAGACCCGCGACGCGGACGGCCTCACCCGCAACGTGGCGCTCATCCGGGAGCTCAACACCAACATCGCCCGCGTCGTGGACCTCTACGGCGACATGTCGGGGTCCTTCGCCCGCGCCGTCGCCGCCAAGAAAGCCGCCGGAGGCGACAAGGGGGGGCCCAAGAGGCCCCGCTCCGCCGGCGCCGGGGGGCAGCAGCAGTAGTAGGGCGTCTCGCCCAGCGAATCCGTTAGAGAAGGCTCCGTCGTGATTCACGGCGGCGGTCAGGGAACTCTGGGGTTGGCCGGTTGGGGTGGTGCATTTGGGAACCTCTTCTTTTTCTTGGTCTGGTGAATGGTGACAAGATGTACTGGTGGATTAACTGTTTGGTGTTGAGAATTGAGATGGACATGGCGTGGACACCTTGTTGTTGTCAGTCGGTGCTGATTGCTGAATCTAAGATGCAGCAGGTTCAGTGAGTGTGTGCATGGCTACTGATGCAGCATGCCGAGGACGACGGTGCAGAGCACCTGCGGCAGTCAGCCACGAGGCATGAGTGGATCAGGTGGTCTCATGGTGCCGTGGCGTCCTTGATGACAGCCTCTTGTCACTGCCCTGCCATGACCATGATGGGCGAACCAAGGACTGAAGGAACAATCAGGATTCTGTCCTGGATTCTGAATAGCGTGCAGTACTGTTCTGTCTGTGCTCTGCAGTCCTGCTGTGCCGTGTGTACTGTATGTGTTCGTGCGTGCCACTGCGAGGCTGCGGCGTCGCGAGCTTTCAATCGACAGGTACATTCGGATCACAAATCCATCCTGCAAGCAATAGTTGGGAAAGACGGCTCCTTGCTTTTTCTTCAGGGCTGATGAAGTTGCTTGCCGTCTCGATATTGTTCCCTTTCTGTCTATGTAACAAATTAAGCTTCGCACCACGGTTGCGGCCCCCCTTCGAGTTGGGGAAATTTTCTTGTTTTCTGTATTTTGCACCATGGATTCGGCCCCCCTTTGAATTGGGGGATTTTTCTTGTTTTCTGTATTTTGCACGTGAAACTAAATTAATTTTTGTGATCTTTTTGTACGGTTCATATAAAAACACCGAAATGGATGGGCCGGCCTCTCTGGACACAAAGGTCATGAGTCTCAGTCAAATCTATGCTTCTAGTTTTTGCACATTGTTAAAGGCATGTCTCATTCTCATAATGATGACAGATAGTGATGTAGAATCTTGATTCTAAGTAAAAACAATAAGTTGGTGTTTGGATCGTGGATTATTATCTTTGCATGACGAGAATCTTGAAGTAGTATGATTTAGATAGATAATTGGATTATAGAGTCTAATTCTAAAATTTATAGTGTTTGGTTCGCATTCTTATTTTTTATTCTATTCTATTCTATTCTTATTTTTCTTTAAAGACCCTAACTGGACATACGGGGCTGTTTGGTTGGCAGCCCTCCCACACCACGCCATATGTGTGGCAGCCATGCAACTTTTGTCAATCGTTTGGTTGACGAGCCAACTTAGGCAGCCACGGTTCCTGCAGAGACAAAACTTGCCACACTCTGTGGCGGACGATTTCCATGCCACAAGCTGTGGTTGCGCCACACATGGGGTGGCAAATGATGGCGGTCATCCGTTGACAAAGAACACATGTTGTCAGGGCCAATAATAGCAGAAAAATATTTAGACCGACCTATGCTACCCGCTGAGTCAAGGAGGTCATAGCCTTTATTAGAGCAACTCCAATATAGTTCCCAAAATTGGTAAATTAATAAGTTTTTCAAGTGGCTACAAAAGAGTTGGGAGCATATTTGCTGGGTTCCTCCATTCGTTTCCAAATTCTCGCTTCAAAGCAATTTTGCATCAGAAATTTTAGATTATTTGCAAATCACCCCAACTACTTTTATACTTTATTTATATCTTATATATTTGCATCGGGAACCATGTACTTACTTCTATTTCTTTTCTACGCCCTTCCATCTCCAAATTGGTGGATCAATACGCGCGTATATTTCCGTACAATTGGATGGATTTTTTGAGTGTGACAAGATTGAGAGTTGAGATAAGAAGCTGTTGGAGAGTAGTTTTTATCAATCTTACCAAAATAATCAAGACTGAGAGTGTGTGTAACACCTCCGGTGTTACGAGCTTGCTTTGCACCGAGATTGAGGCCCAAGAGGGATTAGCCAAACAAGTTTTCGGGTTTTAAAAATTTAAAACGCACATAAAATGATAAGCGAATCCTATGTGACTCACTTTTGTGGACTCAACTAAATATCCTAAGTTAACTTACTTAGTGCATAAAAATGCTAATGAAAATCCTAACAAGAAAAATGGGATAGGTCATTTTAATTGTTTGGCACGAAAAACAATTTTTATAAACAAAAATACAATACGACTTGTATATAGTACTTAAATAAAATTTGAAGTGTAAGTTTAGTAGATGAAAATGCAACTTTTGTTGCGGTAAATAAATGTTGTTCAATAGTATTTTTGATAGCTCAAGGATTGAATTTGGAATTTAATTCCAGCCTCTAGAACTAAAATGACCAAGTCTGAAAACCTAATGACGATGCCGTTTTGGCATTTAAATTTTGATTAAATTTCTTAAACACTAGATTCGTGTTTTTGCACTATTGGTTGTACCATAGTGAGTACTTTAGCATGGGGTAGTTCATGGGCTAGTTTGAATTTGGGTTGGTGTTTTAAAAATTGCTCAAACTTCCATAGAACGTGCTATTGCCCTTGTTTTGGACTCAGTTCATGAACAAACGCACTGCTTGGCGAACCTATTTTGGCGTGTCTCTGTCTCTCTCGGTAATCCATCTAAGTTTGCGTTTGATGCTCCTCTTGATAGCCCTTAGAACTCTCTTGAGCCCTGTCGAATTGGTTTGGTCTCAATCGAGCTAGTTTGGTTTTGATCGGCGCTTTAAAAGTCGTGCACGTCACTGGAACGGCTGCCTGTGTCGCTGGCTGCGCTCCTTGCGTCGTCACCGCGTGAGGCCACGGGCCGATGCGCGTACGCCGCGCCGCGGGCTGTCGTGCTGCTACTGCCGCCCTACGGCGGTGTGCCATGCCCGCGCCTATGCCGTGCGTGCCGGGTCGTGTCGCTGCGCTGCTGTGCCACTGCCAGGCAAGCGCCACAGCGCTAGCCGATGTGGCGCCCGTCTCGACCACTCGATCCACCTACTGCCGAGTCGCTGCCTGCCTTCGCTGTCCCATCGCATTGCTGCCCTTGTCACGAAGCCGCTGCCCTGTCTACCGTTGCCACCGACGGAACCACACCGCTCCGTGAGTTGAATTCGCGCTGCACGAGATATCGCACCTCGATTCAATGCCCCAGTAGCTAGGTGTGGAAGCTAGCTAGCAGCCTGACCCGCACCAAGGCACAACCAAGCTTTATTGCCGGCCAGTTTCATGTTTTGCTCGCCATCGGTCAGTTTCGCCGTCATGCCTGAGCCTGGTTGGGGGTGAGTCTCTTGTCACCGGTAGAGTTCAATTGATGGCCGTTCGAACTCACCTTGACCTCCTCTGTCTGGTGCTCGCCTCAGCTTGGCTAGAACCCTCACCGGCGATGAGCTGACGCGTCCGCGCCGTGCTCGGAATGTCGCCGTACCGCACAGGTGCACGTGGTCAGACCTACACGGGTCGCCTCCAATTCAACCATCACCTCGGCTAGCCTCCTGGTAATCTCCTGTTGCTCCTACACCTCCTGTTGTCCTCGTCGCCACTCTAGTTCGTCGGAACAGCCTCACCGACCGCCATGAACCGTGCTGCACCAGCCGCCACCATGGTCGGCTTGGCTATAGTACCTCTCTGAGTCCCCAACCGCCGCCCCTAGATGCGAACCATAGTAACTTAGATGCTCGGCCACCCTAGGCCACCGGAGACCCCCGTAGGTGCCCGGCGTAACCGTCGAGTGCCGACGGGTGCCGCGCCGTCACGCGCGCCGCTGCCAAGGACCACACATCAGGGATTAGATGAAACCCAAGGGGTTAAGTGGGAATGTCAGAGAGAGAGATAAATAGTGTTTGGACCGCGGGAGGGTTTGTTTGAAATTCGAGGGCCCTTTTGCAAAAATGCCAGCGCGCGCGGGGCTCTTTCGTCGTAGGCCACTCGCTGGGACAGCCTACTACGCTTGGTCGTGCTCCGCGCTAGGCCATTGGGCCGCTAGGCCGAATTACTGCTGTAACAGAACCGACCAATTATACGAGATTAAGTAAGAAAATCTTCCGCCGAAGCAGATAATTTAGCAAACTTAAACCCGTATAACCCGGTAGTCCGTGAAACCATGAAGGATTTCAAACCAATCGACATACAAACCAAGATCGTACAATTTTAGCAAGTACCGTCACATGTTACATAAAGTTCACAATGACAGTGGATACATCAGAGTTTAGAACATAAAGTTATTACAACCTAAGTTCGATCTGAAATAGCGGAAGCAAATAGTTTTAAAGCCACACACACACTTTTAGTTCAGATACAATGCCAGTAGGTAGTCATTTCCAACAAAAGCATCAGATGAGAGATACGGAGTGACCATTTGCCCTTAGTCCTAGTTGTCACCCATCGTCGGGTACAGGCAGTTAATGCAATAGCCGTAGTACATTTGACCATCTGCAACAACAATGGGAACAACGCCCTAAGTATGAGAAGGTACTCAGCTAGACTTACCTGTCTTAAACCAAAATAAAGCGACACCAATGATTATGCAAGGCTTTCTTTAGTGGGCTAGCTGACTTGTTTGCGAAAAGCATAAGCTATCATGAAGAAACCATTTTAAATACTTTGCATCATCTTTATTATGACCTATCCATCTAGGTAAGCACCTGTACTATAGCAATCACTTGATTAATCAATAACATCTAGTTACCAACTTAGATTTAGCATAGCTCATATCATCCAGATAACCATTAGTGTTCCATCATAATTACTACGATGCCGTAGCTCGAGTCAAGTGCTCACTATCCAGGAGCGATGACGATTCGAATCAATTCCTGACCAGTTGGTGATTTATTCCTCACACAAACCACATTCACCGATCAAGTGAGCTACAGATCACCAATGACATTTTTTAGGTAGCCGCGGGACAATCTGGAGCCGCAGTACCTAGGGACCGCCCGACTGCTAGGAATCAGGTTGCACCTGCCCTTTGGCTCACTCTTCGCGCCCCTATCATACACCCATCAGCACCGATACGCGCACTCGTGTAGATCCCGACC